CTAGTGAGCAGTATTAATTATTTTTAAGAAACTATATCTTGTAAAAATAAGGTTACATTTGATCATGACTAGTATTTTACTAATATTAATTCGGCATGACAAGCACGTTATAAAGATAATAAATATACATCTAAAAAGAAAAATAAATTTGGAAATTTTGTATAAATAAGAATAAAAGAGGCATACATGTCACAATGTCAATAACCGGTGGGTTCACGATCTTACTATATATGCATCAAGTTCAACATCGATATTTTTATATATTGATTTTAATAATACTGTTTTCAATCAATGGCCATATTTCATACACATAGGGAGGTGTTAAACATGACGTAGGTTGAAAATACACAACTAGCTTAATTTGGGGGTTCATGCATAAAAATATTGAGTTTTTATTAGTTTGTGTGCTTGCTTGAGTGAAAAAAAAAATTAAATATTTTTCAGCCTTTTTTTTTTATTTTTGTGCGTTGTGTGGGTTAGATGCATTTGCCAACTATGATGTATATATTTGGAATTATACATTAGATTATAAATTGTGAAAGAGTTGCACGTTATGATTGATTTATGCTTATTCGCGTGAAACTTGATTTTTTTTTTTTACAAGATTTATGTTTTGTATCAAGAAAAAATAGTTTGATTCAAAATTTTAATAGGTAAAAATAATTAATTTGTGAACTTTAGATACTAAATCCAAATAACCACTAAATTATACATCATTAAAACAATTTTATGATAGTTTGGGGTGATTGAATGGTTGTAGGGAGACATTAAGATGGATGTGAATTCCATGTGTGCTATATTTTGCATGGATTGTTTAAGGTCAATAAGATAAAAAAAAAAAAAAAAATAGGTGTCAATCTTAAGTTAGAGATTAATTTTTTAAAATAAGTGTTTAATAATGAGTATTGCACTAATCATTGCATGAAAAAAGAGACAATATTGTCTTATTGTGAAACTTCTATTCATAGCATTTATGACTCGAACGATTGAGAATGCAAATACATCTAAAACCTGGTGTTCTATAGTCACCAGATTTGGGAGTTATCGGCCAAAATCTCGCTACAATGATCATTTAGAAAGTTTAATGGAGAGAAGTCTGCACATCAGATTTAAAAAAAAAAAAAAAGGTTATTACATGTTTTGATTAAACCCCAAATGCTTATTTGAGAGAATTTAAACATTTGCCAATGGATTATTAACTTAGTTGATTTTTGGAAGTTGAAGCAATAAAAAATAAGGAGAATCGTCATTTGTTGATGTGTTGAATTGCAACTAGCAAGATATAACCAAGCTAGAGAGGACGATGATTCGGCATTATATAAAAATTCAACATTATGTCACACTTTGGGAGAGAGTTAAATAAATAAGTTTGGAGTGTGAATATCACGAGAGGAGAAATAATAAATTTGATAAAGTGCATTGAAAAGACAACTCAAAAATCTACAATTCTTCTAGAAGTACAATATTTATAATTCAAACGTTTGCTATTCGAAAAAATGAGTCTCAAGTTGAGACTAAAAATACGGAGTATAATTTTTTCGGTTGGAAATTGGTTTATAAAAATACTTAAATTATATTTAACTTCTTTGACCTCCAATTACATCCAATTGATCTTATATGATCTTCAATCATTGTTTTGTGGTCCGAATCAAATATTAAATGTTTACACTTTGATTTCCCAACTTTGAATTTCTTTCGTTTTTGCCATTTTTCGTTCATTTCTTCCAAATTCACCAATTTGCATTGAATTTAACCTAACAAACATGATTAATACATAATTAAGTTATAACTCATTCAAATCACTAGTAGATACTCATTTAATTACCTAGATAAGTGTACAAAATACATTTATCAATGCAAAGGGAGGGAGTAATCAGACAGCGAAAGGTTAGTAATTGTTTTTTTTCTTTTTAGTCCCTATCTTTGAGAAATTATTAAGTTGCCCCTTATTTTAAATATTTCTCCTCAATTTTAGTTAATTTTTACAAATTAGGATTACTTTAGTGGTCGATGTAGTTAGGAATTAAAAAAACTGACTTTGCTGCTAAGTGAGAAAGAAAAGTTTCAAATATACCCAAGAAGGACTAGCTATATCTTACAATTCTCACGTACTCAGGCTACTCATAGTATAAAGAAAGATAATTAATATGTTTCTTTTATTCTAGATACGAATTTTCAAAGGCGTAGCGATTTAAGTGTAAAATCCAAAATAAAATATTTAGTAGCTATTTGTTTTATTAAAAATCAAAATTTTAGTAGATTTTGATAAAAATTAAAAAGTTTGTCATGAACTGTTGATTAAAAGTGTGGATCACATGAAATGCATGGCTGAAGATAAGTTTTAAAAAATAAGGGCCAAGCATAAACTTATTTTAAGGTGGGATGGAGCAATTTTTTTGAAACTCTGGGGGGCCCTCTGAGAAAAAAAAAACTAATAAAATAATTTCCTAAATCGGAAGCACGAACAAATACTGTGAACCCAGGTAGACTTGCCTGTTGCCACACGACAAGAACCATTTGGGCCCAACTTTAGCTGTTGCAAATTCACAAATTTCATTCTTCTTGGGTATGTTAGCCCCATCTAGTATAGTTAAAAAATTAATTTTTGGTAAATTTTTATAAAAGTTGATAAAATATATTGAAAAATTGATTTTAAAAAATGCAAATTCCTTGAAATGTACGATTAAATTAAATTTTGACTTAGACTTTTATCAAAATTTTACGTCACACCAATCACAAGCTTACTTTTATTTTGTATTCTTGTTTCATGCACCAAGATAAATCACACCAAAAAGTTCCAAGTACATCTAAGTGCTTAATTTATAACTTTTTTTTTACAAAAAATAAAAGTAAAAATAAAAATCCCGTCAGATAGACTCTAAATTAATCAATATGTCCTTTGATAATCATGTACCAAATTGGGTGGCCAATAAAATTTTTGACTCAACCCCTTAACCTCATTCAAACACATATATATCAATCAACATTACACGTCCCCATCATCGATGTAAAATCACATCAGCCCTTGGATCTAGTCTCGTACATTCTGCTTATTTTGGATATGCCCTGTTTGGTGTAGTGATTAAAATCAATTTTTTTTTAATAAATTTTGATAAAAATTGATAAAATATGTAGTTAAAAAATAGTGAATGCTATTTTCTTGTGATTTAACTAAAATTAAAATCTTGATTTTAATCAATAATCATACTATACGAACAAAAAGTTTAACATAATGGCCGACTAATGACAATGACATTTTATCATTTGACTGTTTTAAACACGATCAATTTTTCCACCCAATCGAATAGCACCACAGCATCTTCTATCCGCGCTAAACAGGGCATAACTAATCTTCTAGTCGCCATTTTTCACCCTTGAATTTTCAAGTCAACACATCCAATCCTATCCTGACACCATAGGACTATACATATGTACTTATATATTACACGCGCGCGACCAAATTTATACTAAAGCAAAGCAACACCCATTTGCAGCATAGAAGAAATGGCAACCCTATCTCAAATCTTGGCTCATCTTTACACCGCCACCATAGTTTTCATCTCCCTCCTATTTCTCGAACTAGTTATTCTTGTACGCGCTGCGGTCGGGACAATCCCCGGCTCCAAGAACAGCCCCATCACCACCGCTCAATACCTTAAACTCGTCGAAGAAAAAAACCCAGCCTGTCGGTACAAAACCGGATTAAGAATGGAATCATTGGAGTGTGCAGTTTGTCTGTCCGTGTATGAAGAAGGGGATGAGATAAGGAAATTAAGGAAGTGCAAACACACATTCCACAAGGGCTGTCTCGACACGTGGCTGCAGCAAGATTGGGCCACGTGTCCACTTTGCCGGAGCATGGTGTTGCCGGAAGAAGTGGTGGTGAAGTACCGGCGGCACCGGAATCACCAAGAGTTCGACGGAAGTGACGAGGAGCTTATTTTCTTGTTATCTGCATTACATGGTAGTTACATACGTAGATTTTTGTAACACCGACGAGAGAAGGTTTGTTTTCCCATTTTTTCTTGCTTTGTATATACGCGTGTTGAGAGAGTAAACTCACTTTGTCAGAAAGATGTCTTGACGCGACGGACGTTGCAAAATATTATTAGAAGAAAAAACTGACTATAATTTATGAGAAATGCTACATGTACAACACATAAATTTTGGGTTACAACCTCTCACAAGGAAGGTGGGCTCTGCGATCAAAATAATAGTGAGCCCCACCTCCCTTGGGAGGTTATAATCCAACATTGTACTAGTAGCATTATTCATAATTTATGCAGTTCAATAATATAAAGTCGAGTGATGTTATGTCAACAGTGTCATGATTCATGTGGATATGCGATAATCATACAAGTAGCAGCAGTGACCTACCAAAATTAGGTATGACAGGCTTGGTGGGGACCATGTGAGGTAGTGTCATATTTTTAAAGTTGACTATCTAAATGTGTGCAATATTTTGTGTAATTTGTTGTTAAATTTATTGAAAAATTTAAAACAACTAAACCCTGAATATAGTATTGCCCCATTAAGATTTTCTTATCGATTATGCTAGAAAGTTTTTCTCAGCGAAACATAAATAAAGCATAAGGCAATTTAGAGGAATAGCCTCCAATTTAGAAGGACATCATAAAATCAATAATTGAATTATAATTTCATAACAAATATTTTTCTAATAACTCCAGGAGCATCAAAAATTAATATTTTGCTTAATTTAAACCAAATTGTTAATAATACAATCAGATATGCATGTCATGACTTTAAAATTTATATTTGCATAACATTAATGCTGGTCGGCGAGGGTTAGTGACCGATCAGAATCCAGGGGGCTAAAGTGTCATCATCTCAGCCCCTGATTTAAAAAAAAGTGGTCCCATATGAATTCAAATCAAGGATCGAGATGCATCCACATCGGCCCCATGGATTTGGCCCTGGATGAGCAGCATGACTCTTTGAATAATGGACACAAAACAATCTTATCATTTATATTTTTTTCACAAAGTAATCATTTCATTTTGGCACAATACACTCTTTAGATCAAGTAAATATTATGCAAAACAACT